GTGGGGAGTGCACCCTTGACAGGCTCATCATGCCAAGATCCCCGCCCCCAACCCTGAAGTCAGTCAGGATCACAGGTGTGCCCTTATTTTCAGGCAGAACCTAGATGGCAACTGGGAGCCTCCCTGATGTGGCCCCAGCACCACACAGTAGCACCCCTACTGCCTGTGGCACTGAGGCTGGACCTGTATGCATTTTCAAAGCAACAAAATCTGGCTATGAAACATACATTTTTCTTTAAGATGCATTATTTCTATAGTTTACCCATAGCTGAGAAATTGGATTCTGTTTCTACTCTAATTCTGTTTACATGCATGTTAACCAGCCAGAGCTACACTTGGCAATGTGGTGTAACTGCAGGATCACAGTGGCAGATGAGAGGAACTGGCAGGTTTTCCTGGCTCGGGTGTGCGGGCACATCATGAGCAAGATTCCAGCTCTCGCTCATCATCACCACATCCTATGAAACCTCACTGGGGGGGAAGGCCCTGGGCTCCACACCCATGCAAAGCATATCCAGCAGCCCTGCTGTTTGGCTTGTGTGCAAAGAATCACAAGTACAATGGTGAGGGGAGGGGTGGGGTGTAAGAGACGAGGTGTGTTTTAAGACTTCAGAGCAAAGTGAAGAGTCCCAAGAACACAGAGCCACAGGTACAGATGGGAGAAAGAATCTGATAACCCTCCAAGTATTTTTCTCTTCTTCCTGAGGCAGAGCCAACAACAGTTGGTATTAAGGGACCAAATTGCTGGTATCTTCCCACTTAAAAGAGCAGGCCAAACCCTCAGGTAGTTGTTAGGTCCTTTAGAGAATGGCCCTGCCCCCAGGCCCTGCCCAGTCCTGACACTAGCACTTGCTTCATGCTCCAAAGGGCATGCCTCCCAGCCTTCCACTCATATTTCAATGTCTATGTCCACATCTGTAGCTGCATCCATGCTTACATCTATATCCACATCCTTACCACATATTCACATGTATGTATACTGTATATTGACTTGTTCATTTGACAAGTCTGTTGAGTCCTGTGGCAAACATTGTTGGCTGCCTCACCAGCATCAAAACCATCCTTGGGGGTGGTCACTGATTGGCCTAAAATTAAACAGCATAATCCCCTAGTAATTGCTTTGCAACTGGTTGCTTGTTCAAGCAAAAACCTATCAGGGCTTCAGATTGTCTGGCCTCAGTGACTATTTCACAAGTGGGCACGTGGCCTTAGTCCAGTGTAAAGCCCAGGGAGTTTGTTTAATAATTGGATGACTGTGATACACTAACTGGAGCTCCAGAATGGCTGTAGCTATTTTGTTATCATGAGAAACGGAAGCCTTGGGATGTTGCCAGCACATTGAGGTGCAGGGAGAATCACAATGGAACAGGAACCTTAAACTGAACGTAAGGGTTGGTCCCATTTCTGGCCTTTTCAGCTGTGTAAGCCAGTTTAAACTGCACTGTCTGCTACTTGCACTTGACCAAAAGTCCTTAATAAGACAAGTGCTAGGTACTGGAGATTCAGTCATGAATAACAGTTAGTAGAGAGAAATATATAAGAAACAAACAAGGAGAAGACCCTATAGAGGCAGCAGTAGCCATTTCTATGAACACCTCAGTTGTTTCTAAGCTAGTTGTTCCTTGTACTAAAATTTTCAATCAACCTAATTTCTTAAGAGTGAATTAAGTCAATATAGATCATCAGGGTACCAGTAAAGGATGCTTTATTTTTTATTTTTAAAATTTTCATTTTTAAGTTTCTATTTATTTTTTGACAGAGAAAGACATGATATCTGACATAATATTGCCATGCCACAATCTTCCCCCAGCCTTTCAGTCAGCCAGAACCACAAATATACCCAGAAGTATGCCTGGTATGTTCAGGTCACCCCAAAAAGCAAATTCAAGGTCTTCCCATATGGCTCCAGTATCATGCAAACAGAGACAGTAGGTGAGAAAGTGAGAAAGCACCCCCAGGAAAGATGCCCGGGTTGCAATCCTCCTCCCATTCTCTTCTTGAGGGACTCTTTTTTTTTTTTAAGAATTATTTATCTAATTTTATTTAATATTATTTTTTGAAAGTTGTTATACGGCATATGCACTCACCAGAGAGAGAGAAAGAAAGAAAGGTGCACTCACCAAAGAGAGAGAGAAAGAGAGAAAGTGAGAAAGCAAACCACCAGGTCCAGGACTTGAACTGTGGTTGGTCAAGTGGGAGTCTAGCACCTTAGCCACACTACCTGAGGGACCCCTGGACCCTTTATTTTAAATAGCATCTTCAGGATTATACAGGATCCTACCTTTGCCTAATAAAGTGTGTGCTCAGGGCCGGCAGGTGGTGTGGTACTTAAGGGCATTGGACTCCCACATGGCTGACCACAGTTCAAGTCATGCATCTGGTAGCTTGCTTTCTCACTCCCCTCTCCATCTCTCTCTGGTCAAATTGTAAAATAATAATAATAATAATGTTAAATCAGACAATTCTTTAAAAAAAAGAAAAAGAAATAGTGTGTACTCATTTCTGGCTTTATACATGAGGACTTCAAAAAGTGCATGGAAAATGGAACTAAAGTACAAGTTTATTTATTTTGGTGCAAATGTTGAAATCCATGTGTAGTCTTTTCATAACACATTTCCACAAACTTCATGAATAATCTTATTAATTGTCTTCAAGTCCATCATTACAAACATAAACACATTGTGCCGGATGGTGGTATGGTGGTCATGCAACTAGATCCACATGGGAAGGTCCTAGGTTCACGTCCTGGGACCTCCCTGGGCACTCTAGGTGTGTATGCATGCCTATGACCCAGGCTGGCTGAGACTGGGGATTGATCGTGGCATGAACACCCCATTGGGTAGGTGCCTATCTCTATCATGGAGAAATAAACATGAAAAAAATAATACATGTTAAATCTCTAGTAATGGTTCTCAATCTGGCTACTTATCAGATCATTGCCTCCTCCAAAGAAATGTCCATGTCCTGCCCCCAAGCATTCTGATTCACAAGGTGCTATTGTTTAGATATGGTCTGTCCTCCAAAGGTTAGTGTTCTGGAAGACTGGTCTCCAGTGCTTGCATGGGGAGACAGTGAGCCCTTATAAGAGGTAAGGCCTAGTGGGCAGTATCGGGATCATGGGGGTGTCTGGACCAATATTTCAATCCTCATGAATAGATTAAAATCTTGCTCTCCTGAGAAGGGGTTAGTTCCTACCAAAGCAGGTTGTTATAAAAGGAAGATGGCTGCACACGCCTGCTGACCTCCCTGCTTCTGTCAGCAGCTATGTTGTGATTGATCATATACCAGCACCATGCTTTCGAACTCTCTAGCCGCCAGAGTCATGAGTCCAAAAATACTCTTCCTTCAAAAAAAATCACCCAATCTCAGCTATTTCTATTTAGCAATTCAATAATGAAATAAGACAGAGGTCTGAGTTAGATTTGGGTAATCTGCAGTTTTCGGTTAACTTTTAGAACTGCTATCCTGAGGTATCTGCAATGCTGTTATCTGTGTCCTGAGTTCCCTGGGTAGCTTGTAATCTGCATTTTCAGATATAAAGATGTCTCAAGTGTTGTTTAGAAGGGGAAAGTGTTTTTTTAGTAAGTGCTGGCTCGAGTCCTCAGAAGCACAGAAAGGGGCCCCAGTGAATGCAACCAACAGATAACTAGAGGACAGAGGATGCAGAGCCTTGACCGTGAGCAGTGGCATGCCAGAATATTTACCCCCCCTTTAATTAACTGATCACATGTATTTCTCAGTCTCACTTTTTTAATGTTAAAGCCCATTTACTCCCAAATGAAATTCTTCAAAAAAAGAGCTGTGGGTCAAGAAGAATTCCTTTCTGGGACCAGCAGTTAGCGTAATAGCTATGTCGCTGAACTCCCATGTAGTTGACCCCAGACCCGGTGGCTTAAACTCATGCCAGGTGCGTATGTGTGCATGCCCAAGATCCCGAGAGGAGAAGGGATTGCGACGTGGCCATCCCCCGGGGGGGGGGTAATTTCTCTCTCTCTCTCTC